TTATCAGGGAAGACTTTTCCCGTCTGGCACACAATAACTTTCTCTGTTCTTCCAAGTGTGGCACTGCATTGTTCCTGACCAACCTGTTTTGTGGGAAGGGGATAGATCTCATTGAGTCACAAGAGGGGTATGTGTACACCTGTCCTGCCCCAGCTTGCAGGAGGTGACCTACTGGCCACGGGAGATCAGTGCCTATAATCAAAGCTGACCTGGCTGTCTTTTCTTTGTGTGAGTTAAGCATTGTTCCATGCACAGTGATTTGCGTCCTTCGACTGGTGACTTTGAACCTTGACAGCCCAAACTTAGTCTTCTTTTATACTATACTATACCTTAAATATAATTCTCTAATGCTGTTGAAAATTTGCAATGAGTTAGGATAAATGGAAACACTTGAAAAAGCACATGAAAGTTTTCTATTTTCTTGGAATTTATGCTCCATGCTGATTTTCAGTTAAGCTCACTCCTACTCGCCCGCCCCCCCCCCGTTAAAACCTAAAATAATGGAAAATTCTTCAGGCTTTTGATGATTTATATAAAGTCCAACTTTTCTACAAAGTCTTAAAGAATAATTAAAAAGCAGTATTATGTCTATATGAAACACCCTTATATAAATTACATAGCCCCCAGCCAATACAGCAAATGCCATGTGTGAATCTCCCTTAATTCACTATAAAATACCTACATTCAGAAGAAATAATTTCATTGATCTGAGTTTTCCTCTTTCAATTTAAAAATTACAGGTTCAAACACATAGTTTCATTCTATGGAATGAAACAGGCTCATAATTAGATTTTACCTTAGGTTGTTTACCCAAAGGAGCCACCACATCTGTCACTGCATAAATGAAGTAACAAACAGAAAAGATATAGCACCTTGAATTTCCTCTGGTAGAGGGGTAGATGAACCTTTCTGTAAAAGGCCAGATAGTATCTGTTTTAGGCTTTGCAAGCCCAGAAAAAATAGAGGTTATTATATAGGTACATCTATAAAGAGAGAAAACAGGTTTTTATTGGTGAAATTAAAAATGTAATTACCCTGTTTTCCTTTAACATAGGCCTAGGAAGATGGGGCAATCTACTTCTGTAGTGACATTGCCTCGGAAACCCAAGGAGGGGTGGGTTGCTATGAGTCGGGTCCGACTCGACGGCACATAACAACAACTAAGAGAACAATTTTCGGAGAGGGTAATAACATTTCAATCAACTGGAGCTCTGTTAGGATCCCTATCCTTAAAACTGATTGCAAATGTTAATCTGCTGATGCTGCTGATCAGCAATGAAATTTTGTATTTCATCTTTGAAATGTCTTTTCATACAGATAGGTACTGCCAAATACAGACATCAAACCATAACCATATGAACTTAATTGAGCCTATGCATCACTTGTAAGGCATTTGTAGGATTGTATTAAGTCTTTTCTTGGTATTTATCTTTTAGTATGTCATCCTATTGCAGATTAATCACTTTCATTTAATGGTAAGATGATGAAGTTCTTCAATTGTAGTTAAGACTTTGAAATATGAAAATTTTCTTTGTACTTACATGCAGATTTAAAAAGAAAAAAAACTACAGGAAGTAAATCTATGTTGCAAAATGGGGACCTCCTTTCTTGTTTTGATTTTTAATAGCAAGAAACTGTGTATCACAGCTTGACATTCTTGTGATTCAAATGTTGCAGTTTTTGTTGAAATGCCTATACTGCAGAGCAACTTTGGCATGTAAGCAGTTTTCCCTTGTCAGACTCAATTCACTAAGAAACATGATCAAATCTGCCAGTTAATCCCATAGCTACTCAGTGACTGAAAATAAGTAGTTGAGGAGAGTTGCCCTCCTTCTTCAGAAAAATTTCGATCTCAGCCCTGAGTTAAAAAATACTACAATGAAACTACCACTGCTAAGCTATCAAACTGCTGTGTGGTAGGCAAGTCAGGACATTCCATTTCTGTTTCTCACAAAAAAATTCATGGGACTGACTAAATGACACTCACCGTAGTAAATACGAGTTCAAAACGCATACCAATATTTTCTGCAGTGTTATCTGATGAATGAAATGAATAGCTATCATCAGAATAGACTCATGGCAACAGGATTCTTTATTAAAAAAAAAAAAAGTTGTATTTTCACAAACTGTATATTTAACCAGTTAAGCTCTTTTCTGTTCCATGCACATTTTTCACCATCAGTACTATCACATTTTAGATTCCACTCTGAGTTGTAGCAGATTAGCGTATTTCTCAACTTTGCAACCCTGACCAAAAGTCTAATAGTCTTAAACAAGTTTACTCTGTCTGGACACATTTCTTTAGGTTACTGCAATCAAACATGATTTAAATTGCTCATCAGTAAATGGTGGTCCTTGCTTGGCTAACAAATGGGCAAACAAATGGCCAACAAAACAAACTTTGCTTGCAGCCTCACTTTCATTTTTGTAAAAAAAATTATGCTGTGATGAGATATTCCAGTTTGCATTTTGTGATTCTTGTGACTGTTGCTGTCCTATGAGTTGGGACTGCTATGATGAGTGCATAGTGTGATAATGCAACATATATTGTATAGCTTTAGCACACCTATAGTGTCACTACATAGTAAACACAGTACTTTTAAAGTGGATGATACAGTCCACATTTCACTGTGTCTTACTAGCACTAGAATCAAAGTGTACTTTTCTTGTTTTGACATGAAGGGGATAAATTGATAATAGAAAAAACTGAAAAAATGTTGAGGTGTGGTGATACACGTGACACTCTGCTGCTATCAGGTCATATGTGTGTCACTGTGATTTGTAGTGTGTCAAGCACCAATGCAAAACTATGAGAGCAACATATGCATGTTTCTGTAGCAACTAAACTCTGTCATTGTAGTACACAAGATGCAAGAGATAGTATGTAAATAACATGGAGGCCTTCCAATAAAGCTTTATTTATGGATTCTGTATTGGAATTTCATATCATTTTCAAGTGTCATAATATATTATTCTTTTGATTCTCCCCTTAACCACTTAAAATGTAAAAACAATACTCAGTTTACGGCCCATCTGAAAACCAAGGCTATAGTTTGCAGACCCCTGCTCTAGTAGATTTAATACAGTTGAGTCCAGAATAAACGGCTCAGGAACACTAAAAAAATGCCAGCCAAATATATTCAAAAGGTAGATTTAGTAAAGTTCATAATGTTCCTCATCAGAAGTTACAAAATAGTATTACTTCTTTGGGGTAGGAACCAAAATTGATACAAGCTATAAAATTCAGCAACTGTATGTCCACCAAAAAAAAGTAATCTTTACAATTATTATTTTTTAATAAGGTATAGATGAAAATATTAGGAAACCAATTAGAGACTTGCTATATTGTATCACCTTTAAAAAGAAAACTGTAAGTTATACCAAATGCATTTACTTTGCAAGTCTTTATGACTAAATGGATTCTCAGAAAGGACAGAAATCAATTCTTAGTTTCCTGCTGAGATACTCATATGGAGCAAGAAGCCAAAAATGAAGTGCTGAAGGTTCAGAGTGATTTTTCAGTTAAAAGACTAAAAATCAGCTAGTTAACAAAGAAAGTTACTGAGTTCTATAAAGTTGCCCAAATACAAACAGAACAATATCCCCCAAATAAATATTTCTAAACAGAATCACCAGTCATCAAGATATATGTAAGAAAACATTTCTGAAGCCTTTATTTACAAAAGCTTTAAAAACAAATAATACCCTCTGTTTTGCAAATAATGTTTTGTTTAAAAAGGATCACCCAGTTACAGCACTGTAATATTATGACTAAAGAATGTACAAGGGAAACCAATGTGGCTAACATTTGGAAATTTGCTAATATTACAGATTGAAGTGTAAATAACACACATCATAACTTGTAGTCCATCATTTCAGGGGTTAATGATGACCAAAACACCTACCTACACATGCTCCAGGTCTGGTCACATATTCTGTCTGGCTAAATATTTCACAGTCTTTTTTGTCAATATATATAAAATAGATTGCAAAGATATACACAAAAAAATAAACAAGCATTACACTCCTCAGGTAATTTTATTAATGATATATATATATATATATATACACACACACACACACACACATACATATATATATATATATATATCATCTTGTATTTTGTTGTTTTGTGCCAAATCTCACCATTATTTATTTTTGTACAAACTATGAGAGCACAATTTTGTCTTCTAATTTAATTTGGTATAAAATATACCTAAAGGCTTGCTATCTTTGGACTTTAATAAAATTGATTTGTAGAATCAAGAAATCAAGAGCATCATAAGTATGGCTATTAAAAAAAAAAAGGGTAAACAGTGACGGAATAAAAGAAGCAGATAAAGGGATGTGTGCTATCATAAAACAAATGCAGCTCCAACATCTTGGATACCAGTTTCCTGGCAGATACTCAAAATCCAATCACAAGGGATTGTTCCTGAAGGGTGTAAAATCTGATTTGAAAAACTCTTCAATCACAGAGCAGCCTACACATGCCAATTAGAAACTGACAGACACCAGATGTGCTTCGAAGATTAAACACTACATATAGAAACAGCAGTTACCAAGTTCCTCAGTAGTTTGTCTTTTTTTTTGTTAGTCCTGATGAATCAACAGTTGCACAATGAATGTGCTATATTCTGTGGGAAAAATCAAGTAAATACTGTATAAAGTTGGCAGATGGTTATTTTTCCCAGCTAAAAGCAAGAAAAACCAAAATTTCTGATAAATCAGAGGATGTGAGTTAGAGTCACTCTCTAAAGTGCAAAATTGATGGTCCACAATCTCAAAAAGCTAAAAATTCCTGTAGAATGGAAGGGAGAGACACGAAACAGGGAAATAAGTTACAGTCAGTGCTAGTTAATTTAGGAAAGGGGAAAAACAAACCAAGTCCAAGTAGGTAAAGTTTGTAAAATATTCAATATGATATAGCTTTTCCCACTTTCTGTCACACACGCTTGCTAAGAAGTGTATTAAGTCAGGGCCAAATTTAACCTGAATGCTTTTCTATTTATTGAGATCTGAGATAGGAATGCTCATACTTAGTACTGAAAGGCAGAAAATAAAATGAGCTATGAAAGGGAAAAATAAGGTATGGTCTATTGTCCAAAGGATTCAACCAGAGATAAAACCTATATACAAGCATGTGTGTAGCTCAAATAAAATAAAATAAAATAAAAATAAAAGGGCTATTTCATGTCATGACTGCTTGTTGGCTTCCTCTTCATATGCATTCCCTGTGCCATTCTGTACATAGGATGAACCAGAACCAAGGCCATACAAATGACCACAATATTTGGCATCATCAATATGATCTTCAAAGAACATCTAAAAAGGAATTTTGGAAAAAAAAAAAAAAAAAGGAAAAAAAAAAAAAAGATAATTTTAACCAAAAGGAACAATTTGTAATAATTTATATTTCAGCAATGTAAGTACTGACTGTTCATTAACTATAATGACAGCTCTTTTCTATGGTGTTCCTCTGAGCCCACACATTTTAAGTTCAAGGAATAAGACTGACATCCTCAAGAAGTAGTGTGCTCAAAAGAAATAAAAAATAAAAAAAAAGGAAACTTCAAAAAAAAAAAGTACAAATACTTTTCTTATTAACATTTAGAGCAGTTTTATCAGAATTTGCAATCACTAAAAGATGGCAGAAATTTTTATTACAAAAGTTTTACAATACTCAACAGTAAGAATAAATGGAAGTAGCAGGAAAAAAAGAAGTTTAGGTTTGTAAGTTGCCTTGATCCATATGTCAGGCTCCTTGGCTAAAAGCAGTCAAATTAACTATGTTCTGGGCAGTAAAATAAAATCTGAATGTTTTATACTAGGTTACTGTCCTTGAAGAAGCCAAGAAAAAGGAAGATGACAAAATTAGTGGCAGAGAATTCACCATGAATTGAACCAGTAAGGCATTTTAGAAAATTCAAAATGTGGTTTTAATTCAGCAATATAGCATTACAAAGTATTAAAAAAAAAAAAAATTGCTTGTCAGGAAGGTACAGTCAGAATTACTTCTGAATTAATATCACTTGGCAAAAAGTGTTATTATGCTTTCTATTACTAGTACATTTCTACATAAAGTTTTAAATTCTCAGACCAGTTCTAAATCACTGCTTTAATGTCCGTGAGGATATATTTAAAAGTTAAGTCCACAGCATATATTCTGCAAAAAGAAAACTTATTTCTAAGCAAAAGAGTACATTCCATTGTTACTGTACAACTGATTTTCTTCTTTTTGTGTTTATCTACAGTGAGGCATACCCATGCATATCAACTAATTCCATAACCTAAGGGAAAACGTGTGTATTAAGTTCCACATTTTTCATACCCAACTTCCTTATACCTGAGGAATGGATCTCTACTTTTTGGCACTGAAGAAAGGTCTGCCCAATGTGGTATCTGATTCAGCTAGAACTTTAGCTGTATTTAACCCTTTTGGTTAAAGCATTCTGCTGGTAACCAAAAGGTCTGTCGTTGGAGCTAACCAGCTGCTCCACAGGAGAAAGATGAGGCAGTCTCCTTAAAGATTTACAACCTTGGAAACCCTGTGAGGCAGTCTACTCTGTTCTGTAAGGTTGCTACGAGTTGGGTTTGGTTTTGGTTTTCTAAGACTCAATGTAATAACAAGCAAGAATTCTACTCTATAAAATTTGGAAACAGAGCACTAAAAAAATGACATGAACATAAAATACTTTTTACCAGCAGTTTAATGCCTAAGAGGACAATGCTAGGGCAAATCTAATGCATAAATTCATTGCCTTGGTGGTAGCACTGATGTGGTAGAAAGAATTCTGGAGTTCTCCCACTGGTAAGCTATGTGACCAGGGATAAAAGTTACCAGTCAGTTTACACTTATTTCAAGCAACAGTTTTGCTCGAGGGACCCCATAGGTCTGGGAGACCCTTTGGGGGGGGGGGTCTTTAAGGTCAAAACTCTTTCAAAGTAACAATATGACCTTTTTCACTGAGATGGGATATCCACAATTATTTGACAATGCTATTAAAATACTCCCTTTCCCAACTTAGAAAAAAAAAAGTTACTAACATCTGATCTCAAGTTTTCTCATCTAAGAAACAATATGGTTAGATCTATACAATTTCTAAGGTAATTTAAATTTTGATCCTATGAAAAACTTATTCTTCCATTTCTTTCTGAACTACATTTTAAGATGACTTATTTTTTAATAAGATCTAGGTGGTGCAAACAGCTAACAAACTCAGCTAGTAACTGAAAAGTTGGAGGTTTGAGTCCACCTAGAGATGCCTGCGAATAAAGACTTGGTGATCGATCGACTTCTAAAAAAATCACCACTGAAGACCCTAAGGAGCATGGTTCTACTCTGACACACAGGGCCACCGTGAGTCAGAACGGACACGACCGCAAGTGGTAATTTTTTTTTTTTTAAATTTTTGAGTATTTTCATCAAGTGCAGTGCATATGACCTATATGATATCTAACTGTATCTTCACTTGTTATGTCCTTATTGCCCAGAAATTTTTGCCAGCGATAAGATTTTTAATGTTCTAAAAACATAATCAACTGAGAAAAATGGCATTGATGTCTTCATACTTCTCTCATTTTGAAAAAGGCCATTCCTGTGAGCAATGAATCTGATCCTGCCTGATGCTGTGGTCCTATCCGTTCCAGCTCTAACTGCTCAGCAACTTCTTGTAATCCACCCTACAAGAAACAAAATTTGCCAGTCAAGAGAGAGCAAGAGTACAATCCCTGAATTCACAAATTACACAACTAAACAGTATCTAAACAAATCTGAGTATGCACAGAGACCTTATGAAGACCGGAAAAACCAGAGATTGTGCATTACTAATGTATTTGTTGAATGTGGAAAAAGCTTATGATGTAACATGAAATGAGATTCTAATCTGAAAAATTTATCTTCCTCATATGTTTAAGGTATGTAACAGGCAAATTTATTTCCTAACCAAAAGACATAAGGAAAAAAAAATCAAACAGAGGTCAACATGTATCAAGTACATTCATGGTCTATATATCCACCAAGCAGATTGGTAGTCTTTAAACTTCTCTTAAATTTCTCACCAATCCAATTCAAATAATTTTCATCTGTAAGATTTTTTATAAAACACAGCCATTATGAGTAATCAAATCATTAAGAATACATCAAATGCTTAACTAAGATTTTATTACTTAAAAAGAAAGAATATGTCATTATAAGCATACAATTCCTTAAAAGGTTCTGCTAAAATCTGCCTATATAATATTACTAGGATTAAAAGAAAGATCGAAACAAAGAGAACAACAAATGGGGGGGAGGGGAGGAAAGGAGAGAGGGAGGGAATAGAAAAGGAGGAAAAGGACAGAACAAAGAGAAAAATAAACAGTACCACCACCAATAAAACAAAGAAATTCTCCTCCAGATTGTTATAGTCTATTAAACTAAGCCTTGTACTTAACAGCTTGAAATAGTGCTTTGTACAGCAGTTGCTTCTGTGTTAAAAATAGCAGGAGGATTAGGTATCATTAGTAACTGCTTAGGAGAGCAACAGAACAGTGTCAAACAGTAGGGTTGACTATAGGCACCTTTGTTACTGACCAAAATTTTAACAAAGCAGTTCACTTAGGGCATATTCAGAATTTCTGATATACAGAGAAACTTCCAATAATATACATATAATGAGCAATAATTTGAAAACTGAAAACTGTTAATACTGATATGTCAATTTTAAAAAGCTTTCCAAAGCCAGACTAAAGCATGCTGGTCTTGGGATTTCAGCATACAATGCTCTCATGGACTAGGTGGACTGAGTTTTTAAAGCCTGAGGATATCCTACTCATGTTTAGTTGAGTCACAGCTGGAAGCGTCTCCTCAAATTACACAGAATTTTGCTGCTCTTAATTGCTACAAAGAAGAAGAAATCTTCACTTAAAACTTCCTTGGTCATATGCTGACAAGGCTGTATTGGAGACAAACTTTGGCTAAAAGACTGCTTCTCTTATGATTTTCAGTTCATCTGTTAAAAAGCAAAGTTTCCTCACTGAAGTCCTAAAAAAAATTTATTTCAGATTAAAGGCAAGGCTGAAAGTCCTTACCACCTCCTAAAAATATAACCTTATTTTACACTTCTGAAACCTAGTGAGGAAAACACTCGATCAACTTTGGTTTCACTGAAAATAAGAAGGACAATACAGATCTATGAAACTATCATTTTACTCAAATTAAAAAACAAAACCAAAGAAACCTTGTATTCCCAAGAATCTGTGAAACAGTACTTTTCCCTATGAAAGACACTTTCCTTTTGAAAGAATTAATTTCTAGAGGGAAAAAATTATTACACATATGGTAAACAGCAGCAAAATGCAGGTTTCTGTTTAGACAGGGCCTATGCATTTATCTACTTACCACAAACAAGCTCTTTTAAGCCAGGGAAAAATATCCTGTTAGCTATGTAATTTAATTCTGGAAATATTCTTCTATAAAGCCAACACAATAACACCTAGTAAAGATAATTCTCTTTACCACATTACTAAACATTTTTGCCCATCACTGGCCACCTGAGATTTTCTCTCGTGCAGATAGATTATGTAATTATGGGGAAAGGAGGAAAACTTGCACTTCCGTGCACATGCATCTTTCTAATCCTCACATCTTTGTCCTGGTTCCTATTTTCAATGTGGCAAGCAATGACAAAAACCAGACCCGTGGTTTGAATTTTGTTGAAAACTTATTCTGGCAATATACACTGAGCTTTGAAAAGGACAACCAAATGATCAGCTAATGTAATTGCATTTAATATTAAACTAAAAATATGGTTTGAAACAAATTCCATTCCATTCTAGGACCTTATGTCAGTCACTCAGCCTGAACAGTGAGGTAATTACAGATAATGACATCAGAATCTTACTTTGAGATTTTTGCAGCTCTTCATGAGGTACTTCACATCATAAATGACAGGAAAAAACAAACGAAGGATCTCAAAGAAGTCAAGTTCTTCTTCAGGCAAATTAGAGTTGGTCAGGATTTTGATTAAATAGCCAAAGTCATAACCACTATAAAAGGGTTAAAAGAATACAGAAGAAGAACAAATGAGTATCACACAGATGGGAAAAAAATTTTTTTGATTCAAATTCTGAGTGAATCACACTTGGGCAAAAAAAGAACAAACAACTGAAACAAAACCAAATACACACTATGATAACAGAAGAACAAAAATGCTTACAGTTTCAATGAAAAATGCCATCTTACAGACAGTGCTATAAGAACTTTATTATTCAGAGATAGCAATATACACATATAGACTACCATACAAGCCTGTAACCCAAACACTAATTTGCTGATCCTTTAATGGAGAACACTTTAACACCAAACTTCCCATAGTAGATGCTTCAGAAATGGAAAGGGTGACATAAAGATGAATCCAAACATGGCCCAATATGTCAAAAACAGAACAAGTATTGGCATTCTGAAGGCAAAAGTAATGCAAATCTACCCATCTTACACATAAGGTGATCATATACTTCAAAAGTTCAAAGATATTCCCTAACAAAGTTTTTCCACTTAAGTGACTTTATTAATAAATTATCTCTTCCTGGCAAATCTGTTCCTATCACAAACACAGTTCCCAGAAGAAATTATTAATAAGAATATTGTACATGATAGAAGTGAAGGTAGTGAACCCCGAGAATTGCCATACTAGAAATAAAATACAAACTCCCATGATCTCAAATTAAGATCTCCTACATCAACCCCCACCGTTTTCCACGTTTACCTCTATAAGGAGCTTTGGTGGTGTAGTGGTTTAGGCATTTGGCTGCTAATCAAAAAGGTCAGTGGTTCAAACCTACCAGACGCTCCGTGGAAGAGATGAGGCAGTCTGCTTCCATAAAGATCTATAACCTTGGAAGCTCAATGGTGGTTGCTATGAGGTGAACTGACTCAGTGAGTTTGGTTTGGTACCTATGTACCTGTGTGCTGTAATTATACATCCTCTTTTCCCAGTCTGTCTTTCCTGCAAGGACCTCTTCCAGGAAACCTTCCCTGTAAAGCCTAACACCTCAGAGATTTCTTAGGTGGCACAAGTTGTTTTCTCGTACTTCCTTTTAAAGTGCACAGCTTTCTCCACTAGTTTAATGGGTAAAAATCACATTTTTAAAGTACTTTTTCTTCTTGCAAATATTTGGGGGATACAAAATAAAATGTGTATTTAATGCTCAGAATACTTACTTGTAATATAAAAAGACAAAAAAAGAGAAACTTTTACCATTAAAGACCACTTAGGAATGCCGAAGTATAAGCAGTAACTTTTAAATTTCTGATGTTTAACAAGAAAGTAACTTTGCTAACGAAAATATAGGTCTGTGTGGTGCTTACTTACTATTACTAGTAAAAGTAAAACTGTATTAGAGTTTAGAATTTATAAATTTCTTCAAATATTCTTTATCTACTAGAAAAAGAATATGAAGAAAATATTTAATGGCATTTAGTAGAATAAAATCTTATATCCTGACAAATATTTACTTAAACCAGAGTCGAACATAAGACTCTTAAGGTGTAAAAAGACACAAAATCTGTTTTTGTTCATTTTAATATCCCAAGTGCTAGCACACAGTATTTCCTGAGTGTTATTTTTTGAATTAAAGACTATGTCATATATAATAAAAAGGGTTGGAAAATGCTTTCCGGTTCTTTTGTATCCTCGTATCTAGGAAAGTAAAAATAACTCAAAAAGTTTTCTCAGATTAACAAAGACATAAATCTTATCTTTTGAGGTACTAGTTGAAGGCGAGGACACAGAGAGAAAAAAGATGGTTGGTGAGAATTAGTATGTTCAGTACCTCTAACTCAAAAATTATTGCTTAGCACTGCCGGAAAGTTTACAATATGAATAGTCCTTCATTCTAATCATTCCACAAGCTGGAGGTAAGGACTCTGAAGTTTAAAAAGAGACTTATATCTAAAATAAATGTGCACATAAGAGCATTATATAACGCTTTTAGAAAACATAACAGAATACCAAATAAAATCATTCCCAAGGCCACACTTAGTCCCCAGCTGCCAATTTAGTTTCATTTACTTAGATAGGAAAACTATTTCTCTTACCTTGGAAGTGATTTCCTTTCAGCAATTCTCTTTAACAATTTAGTTTTACTTTTAATAGTAATACTTAAAAATTACCACTTATTAATAATTTACTGTGTGCAAGGCATTTGAATGGATACTGTAAATACTATTATTGATCATTACAACAATCCTACAAGATATTTTTTCTAAGTGATGCCTTCCCTGAGCATTTCTATCAACCTTTACTGTTTTTCTCCATAGTGTGTATATATCATCACTGTCTAACAAAGCACAAAACATTTATCATTTTTCAAAACTATCTTTCCCATTCCTACCAGAATGTAAATTCCATGAGGGTAGAGATTTTTAGCTTTGCTGATAATTTAATCCCTAGAATCTTTTTTTTTTTACACTTTCCATTTCTACTTGGGTTCCCCGATTCACCTGTGTAGTTACCCTGCCCCCCACCCCCACCCCATCTTTTCTTTTGGGCAAATGTTGCCCTTTTGGTCTCATATACTTAACTGTTCTATGGACTATATTCCTCATGGGTGTCACTATTTTATACGCCAGTCTATTATTTGGCTGAAAGGTAGCCTCCAGGAGTGGCTTCAGTTCAAAATTTGAAGGTATCTTAGGGCAATAGTCTCAGTTTCTTCTAGTCTGTGTAAGATAAGTAAATCTAGTCTGTTACATGAATTTGAATTTTGTTCTACATTAGTCACCCATTCTAACCAGGACTTTCTATTGTGTTCCTAGTCAGGGCAGTCAGAAGTGGTAGCTGGGTACCATCTAGTTTTCTGGTCTCAAGACTATAGGAAGCTGTGTTTCATATGGGCCATTAGTCCTTTGTTTTTTCTTCACTCTCTTTCACTCCAGGTGGGAAAACACCAATAGTTTTATCTTAGATGGCTTCTCACAAGCTTTTAAAATCCAGACACTATCCACCAATATAGGATATAGAACACTATGAACTATGTTATCCCAATTGATCCAGGAGCACTGGTGGTGCAGTGGTTAAAGCACTTGGCTGCTAACAGAAAAGTTTGCAGTTCAAAACCACCAGCTGCTCCACAGAAGAAAAATGTACCAGTTTGCTTCCATGAAGATTAAAGCCTAGGAAACTCTATGGGGCCATTCTACTGTGCCCTACAGAGTTGCCATGAGTCTCAATCAACTCGCTGGCAATGGGTTTGGTTTGGTTTGCTATACCAATTGACCCACATGTCCCCTGAGACTATGGTCTTTAGCCTTCAAGCCCAGTAGCTCAGTCCCATGAGGTGTTTGGTCATATCTAAGAAGTTTCCATCACTATGCCCCTGTGTGTTCTATTAAAATATGAATATACACACAGCATATACAAGAGTGTATGTAGAAATATCCACAACTATACTTATATATGCATGTGGGTATATTCCCAAACCATCTCCCACACCTATCTAGCATACATATCTACCTATGCATCCACTCATAAATCATTATTATTGTTGTTGCTGGATTTGTTATAGTATTTACCATGTTGTCGTTATGTGCCATCGAGTTGGACTTGACTCATAGCGACCCCTCCTTGGGTTTCCAAGGCAGTATCACTACGGAAGTAGACTGCCCCATCTCCCTTCTGAGAAGTGGCTGGTGGGTTTGAACCGCCAGCCTTCTAGTTAGCAGTCAAGTGCTTTAGGCACTATGCTACCATAGTTGCCTTCTATTCTTGGGTACCTCTCAGGGTCTTCTTATGTCTTGGGTATGCTTCACTGACTTCCCCCGTATTGTGCACTGACTTTCCCTTCACCAGAATGAACACATTTATTATGTACTTAGTATTGATCCCTAGATGTTATCACACTGCTTGGTACATGGTAGATACTCAATAATATTTTTTTAAATGAATGGCTTTCCTTCTGAAATCACTAAAAGAAAAACAAAAAATTAAGGCTTAGATATATCAAATAACTCCAGACAGTACTGATTCCAAGTGGCACTGCTAGATTTAAACCTAGGGCATTCTAGTTTTCCAGCCTGTACTTTTTCCAGTATGCAACATGCCTCTCACAGGCTAAGATGGAGCCCATATTATTAAATAAACTTTTAAGTAGACAAACATTAGCATCATAGAATTAGAAAACTGCATACTGCAGCCAATTCTTTCTAGAACCAAAACTGAAATTGCTGATACAATGACCCAAGCAAGTGTGAAAAAGTATGAGATGGTAGCACAAATGCCATTTAAATGTAGTCTTTTTACCTATGAAATGATAACCATTTGACCCCTTCACAGAGGACTACTCCTGATGTCATAAGAAGTTCTGCAAAATATTGGGTCTCAATTCCTTCCTCCTCATGTTTTTTAAACTGGATACCAGATGTTGTTAGTAGCTCTATAGAATCCTGGGCATACATGTCCTCCCTGGCAGGAGAAAAGAAAAAGATAACATTCAAAAGTGCCATATTTCAAACTGTTTTTCTCCACTTCCCTCTACAACTACAATGGCAGAAACAACAAAACAGAAGATTAGCAGGGATCCATCTGTTTCAATGATTTACATATATCCAACAAATATATAAAGATCATCTTTTTCACCCAGAAAAGTATTCAAACCTTAAATAATCATTCAAAGAAGCCCAATGGTGGGCATTAAAATTCTTTACTATCAACTTAATTTCATTAGCTATTCATAATTTAAGTAAGTTGGGATTAGAAAAAGGGTCTTGTATTCATCATGGGCTATAGCTACCAAGTGACAGACTTGTTCTTTCCTGGGCTCTCAGTTTCAGCAGCCATTTTAATGGTGCCAGATGGCACTGCAGCAGTAGCTGTGACAGCCTAGACACATTTCCCTGGCTTTCAGCAGCACAGAAAGAGACCATATGGAAAAGTCCAACACAGCTAAGTTACACTAAGTTCTATCTTAAAGAAAAAAGAAATGCCTCCTCTTACCAATGATGAACCTTTGGCTCCAACAGGAAGTAAACTGTTCAAAATGAAGGTCTCTGCTGTAATAGTTATAATTCCCTCTTCCAACAATCCTAATCCTAAAAGATTATCTTCTAAAATCAAGCCAGGCAATCAAGATATCAATCAATCCCTCAGGACTGCGCTAAAGTCAAAAAGAGTAACCATATCTAATTTCTAAGCATAACACATAAGTATCCAAAACATTAAATATAAAAAAGTTATCAAAATACAAGTAAGTTTCTGAAAATGAAAGAGTATTTTATTAATTGGCCATCAGATTTAACTTTTTATTTGCTTTTTTGAATTGTTAAGATTTACCAGTTTCTACTATGGAGCAGATAAAAAATTCTGTGTAAAGCTTTAATAAAACCAATTAAACCAAAAGGCACATTTCATGTGGCCAAAAAGTATTTCTATGGCTTATTCCTTGGAAATAAGGAATAAGCCATAAAACTTTTAATAATAAGCCACGTACTTTTAATGTCTTTTGAAAAACAGAAACGTTGGCCACTCAACTATTTAAAAATAGAGAAATACTGCAACACTTTTAGTCAAACTCTCTAGAAAATCCTTTAAGATAGCACATGAGGCTACCTGAATGAATTCAATAAAAGTTTCTTCTGTTAAAAAACAGACATTTTGGCTTTACTATACTAAAAGCATTTACCTTTAACAACAAGAATATCTCACTCAACAGGTCAAGATAATCACACTGAAGTCCAAAAGAATATGAAAGATTTAAAATATCACTGTGTATGGCTGAGAAGCAGTTTACGTATTTTAAGTTATTTCTCCAATAAATGGTTTATCAACTGTCAAAATTGAATACCAAAGGGGGAAAAAAAAACCTACAACCTATCAATACAGTGAGGAGTGGTTAAGTGCTTAACTGCTAACTGAAAGGTTGGCAGGTCAGTCCCACTAGCCACTTCATGGGAGAATGATATGGCAGTATGCTTCCTTAAAGATCACAGCTTTGGAAACCCTACAGAGTAGTTCTACTGTCCTGCAGGGTTACTATGAGTCAGAAAAGACTTGATGGCAATGGTTTGGGGCTTTTTGGTTTATCTATATAATACATTTAAAAATATTTCCTATACATTAGTAAAATAAAATAATAAAAAAACAAACAAACAGGCAAACGAAACAGCTGTTACTGAGTTATTAATATAAACATTAAAGTTCTAGGGTATTTGTAAAGTTCCGTTTCTGGATTTGGGTGCTGGTTTCAAGGATGTGCTAAGCTGGTGAAAAATCAGCAAGTTATTCACCTATGATATATATACTTTTCTGTATGTATGTTGGACTTCAATAAAAAGTTTGGGGGAAAAAAAACACTTTAGTTGTCATTATAAAGAAATGAAAATGTAAAAGATGTCTAAGAATGGGCTAAACCTTTAGATTCCTCCTGTTGTTGTTGTTGTTGTTATGTGCCGTTGAGTCGGCCCCGACTCATAGCGACCCCTCCTTGGGTTTCCGAGGCAGTATCACTACGGAAGTAGGATTGCCCAACCTTCCTTCCGAGGAGTGGCTGGTGGGTTTGAACCGCCAGCCGTCTGGTTAGCAGGCAAGTGTCTTAGCCACTATGCTACCAGAGCTCCCTACTTACCTCTTACCTACCTCAAAAAAGTTGGGAAAGGAGAGTAGAAAATTAAATTATTTAAGCCCATCCTTTCTGATAAGTAAGGACTGATTGTGTTTTAAATAACTCCTTATGACCTTTCTCACGTATTAGTATTGAAAAATCACTTATTCACGGAAAGACAGATTTCCTTAATTTTTTCCTATTATGTTCATATTATAAAATACTTCTTTTGTAAACTGTACTGAAATTGACTTAGAGGCATTTTTTTGGAGGGGGGAATGAAAAGTTACAAAGGGAATGCTCACTATAATTATCTTTTATTTCTTCAGAGGGAGCTTATACTGTTGGTGAACCTGTAAGTTAGTACAACCTATCCAAGATAGTATCAGGAGAATATTAAACTTTAATATATGAAGGGTATTAAATTTTAGATAACCTTTTGACACTAAAATTTGATTTCTAGCTTTTTATCTTAAAGGATAAAACTTATGGAAATATTCAAAGATTTAATTAAAAAGAACTTCACTGTACTACTGTTTGTAATACTGAACAACTAGAAACAACCAAAACTATCTAGCAATAATAGATGGATTTCAGTCTTAGAACCAACTATGTAAAGGAATATTAAGCAATCATTAAAATAAGACTATAGAAGATATGGAAAGATTTTAGAGATGCACTAAATTAGTGTGGGGAAAAAAAGATCAAGGCAAAATAATTGATACTACAATATTATTTTATTTTTATACAAAAAGGTATAGGATTATAACAAATTTTATAATAATACAATCTCAGAGATTGTAAAAAATGGTGTGCGGCATCGTCAGACCTTCTCTAACATCACAATGTGGGTAGAATCATCAGTATCAGCCCAAGACTGACTTCTATAAGGGGGAAATCAGACAGGTCTCCTCTCCCCAAAGTTTTTTTTTTAACCAATTCTGACATCAGCTTTCCTTCCCACAAACCCACTGCTGTGGAGTCAGATCCAACTCATAGTGACCCCTCCTTGGGTTTCTGAGGCAGTATAACTACGGAAGTACATTGCCCAACCTTCCTTCCAAGGAATGGCTGGTAGGTTTTAACTGCCAGCCTTCTGGTTAGCAGTCAAGTGCCTTAGGCACTATGCCACCAGATCCTTTGTCACCTATCCTTCCCACAGCACTCTAATTCTCTGCTGAGTTGGAAAATTTGTTGCAATACTCATACAGAACTCAAACATCACACACACAGTTCAGGGGTTTATTACAGAAGGATTATGTTACACAATTCAGGATCAGGAATGACTCATGATATAGTTCTTTGGTTAGGACAGCTTTTTGTTATGCCAGAGCCAAGCCTCTCCCTTGGCTCTTGAGTTCCTCAGTATGGCCTCTGCCCTGTTTGGTCAAGTATTATAAAGCTCTTCAGAGCTGCCAATAAGCGCCCTGGTACATCTCATTCTACTGGTAAACCTCCTGCGTGAAGGGTCTCAGTGTTCTCTCTCAGTAGGAGTTCTGCTAACACTGTTTCCCTATCACTGCTTCTGTCTTAAGCCATCTCTGGTATTACAGCTCTATCTTTCTTCTGGGTCTAGGAGGTTCTCAGTCCACTCCTATCTGTTCTTGGTGGTAGTGAGGTCCCCTGGAATTGGCTCTCTTTTAAGAGTAGGAGGATGGCAAAACTGACCAATCTCCCCCTTATGTTTCCATACACTTTATTTGCATGGTTTCACCCCACCCCTCCACAGGGGTTCTATGCACCTTATCTGCATTACTAGGAAGCTGTCCAATCCTCTTGGTGGGCCACAAGCACCTTATTTACATTTTCTCACCCAATAATTTGTAGGAGTCACAGATCATGGCAAGAAAGGCCATATAAAAGCACTTTATCACACTGCAGAGATCCTTTGACTAAATTAACTAAAATAAATTTGGAAACAAAGTATATTTAAATTAGGCTGGCTGATAGGATTTTATGGTAATTAATACTTTAGACAAGTATTTTAGCAGCTTTAGAAACCTTATTCCATAGTAGATCAATTAGGAGATAAATCTTAGTAAAAAAAGTTTAAAGTTAGTAAAAGAAAAATTCTGAGCCAGGCCTGATCTTTGTTAAGCAGAACAGTTTCAAAGTAATCTGTGCCAATTTAAAAGCTCTAGTTATCAAATTAATACTTAGAAACCATGATATAATATAATGTTCTTTCCAGGCCAGAACAGTAAAATTCTTACAATAGATTACCTTTTACTAAGATCTCTGAATTTTATGCCCTCACAACAGAATTAAGCTTTTCCATGAATAGATCACATAAACCATCCTCTTTAAATATCTTAGCAGAAAACCAGAAAAAATTGAAAATGAACCAGTTCCTAGCTTCAAAACAGGTTAAGCATTGATTGAAAAAGCAAAAAAGAACAGCTCAACTTATATCTCCTTTATCTCTATTCAGTGAATAGGAGATTCTGATGAAAAATGTGAAAATTTAGTGAGCAGTGAATTTTAAGAGCATTACATTTTATATAAAAATATCTTGTATGTTCTGCTTGGAAAATAATCCATTAAAAAAATTCTAGCATTAAAAAATGCATTTTCAAAAATATCTAGAATTTAAACCAACTATGAAAATTCCAATTAGCATTTTATATAGTTCAACTGATAACAGACCTCTTAGGTAAATAAGCATAAAACTGTAATTTAATAGTACCTAAAAAGCAAGCAGGCTTTCAACTAAAGTTCTCTTATAAATTATATTAAGTAAAAAAAGTTTCAAGATGAATGAAGGGAAACAGTTGTAGGAGAGGTGCCTACAAAAAGGAGCTATGAAAAGTGGTGCAGTATCCATATTTTCTGACAGGCACTGCTTAGGGATCATCTGAGACATGACAGGTAAGGCCTACAAGATTTGTTGAAAATCCACTAGTATAAATCACTACCTACTCAGTAGTTCATCACATCTACACTCTTAATTTAGCTATTACTATAAAGGTTAAGGGCTCTAAAATATTTTAGGCTATTTATGTAAAATACCTTTGTATGCCATTTACCACAAGGAAAATGCCATCCTTCCCAAACCAATGTAGGTACTAACTAACCTACCATCAGTATTCACTAAGTTACTTTTCTACTAAAAGCACCAGATCATTTCAAAATTGTTTTCTAATTTCTTGACATTCAAAAAGGTTACTTTTCTATTAGACACTGTCCTATAACAATTACATGGTAAGGCAGTCAACTGGCCAAAATAAATTTAGAACTGGAACACTTTACCAACAGTATTTAGAATCCTGGGATCTGAATATTTGTTCATCTGTCCCTTCATGAAAATAACTGCGCATTCCAAGGGAGGCAAGAGTCCATCTCATCAGTGCAAGCTTATCTTTAATATCCATCTCCTCATCTAAACAGTAAACTGATTCTCCTACAGCACCTTATTCCCATCTATCCTTCCATAAGGAAGTACCATCATTTTTCATTTTTCAAATTCAATGGCAGAAATAATGATAGAACCCACAATTCTAGTTAGGCTTGTTACCACATAAAATCTTTTCTCTAATTCTCACAATATGAAGTTCCAAGCCACTTTTTTTCTATAATCACCAATTGTCTATTCTCCAAATTCTAAGTTTCTGCACACTTCAAAAATTCAGATCATTTTTCCCCCTTTCTATGTAGTCTCTTGATTACCATCCTCAACAATTTCCATTTCACATCTAAGAAAGTATTACCATTCATGACTTTATACTCATTTCCAATAGTGGGCAAGCACCAAAACAATCACCTCCTGAATTCTGTAAACACAACCAATGAATGACAAGACATTCTGCCAAATCTAATGTTCTAACATGGAGCTTTTCTTCTGACACTACAAATTCTTTTCCAGTTACTTCTGTCTCTAATTATGAAACACAGACATTCTTGTTTTAATCATTCTAGCTTTTCTCTTCTTCTACTACATTGTATTTTCTCACCTTAGATTTCTTTTACACCAATAACATTCCTGAAATATCAGCTCACTCCTTTAACTTATTATCAACTCCACTGCTTTAATTCTGTACTAATATTGCTTGTCCAAATTTCTGCTGTTGCTCTTAAGCACAGCTGGAGAAACTTAACATAAAAATAGCAAAGAACTGGGTGATTATAAATTCTGATTTTCAATTACACCCTAGGCCTCAACTTGGTTTTATCTGAGTTAAAAGAGGTTTTGTGGACTGACCTGGGAACATAACCTATGTAACACTGCTTCCAAAGGAAAAAAGCATCCAAGTTTCCAACAAATGTCACATCACCTCTCAAATATAATCTATTTATAAATTGGGGAATGACTATAATGAAAATCTTTTCACAAGGATAAATATAACAAAGTATATATTTTAAATTGCAACACACAAAGTAAACTAATGCTGTGAAATTGTTTTCCTACTAACAAGCATTTTAAATAATCCAAGTTTAAAAAAAAAAATCAAACAAACTGGTAGCCATACAGTTAAAATAGCATCTTTAAAATTCAAAGTATTTGATTTTAAGATAGTCTTTATCCTAGTTTTTACTGTTCTATAATAAAAAAAGAACCAAACCTTTTGAAATTTTAGGTTTGATATATTTTTCTAGGCTAACTACATCAAATTAAATTACAATTTCATACTTTAAGGAAATAAATTCCTGAAATTAAACTGAAAAAACAAAATTTGCATGGTATTTATTTTCTACTTACGTCAAATTAAATTTAAAATTGAACTGCCATGTTGAAGTTCCTGGAGGGTATTCTCCTTGCTCATTCATAAATGTCAGTCCTAGCTGAATTATCTTTAACAAGTCTACATTACACCTCAATAGTTGGTACTGATAGTCAGCATTGCTCCTGAATTCTCCAATAGGTCTTGCAACCACACCTGGAAACTCGGTGTCCTGTAAAATAGTTTCAAGATTCATTATTTACTATACAAGGATAACCATAATTCACAAATTCCTAGAACAATTAATTTTTGGTACAAGTCAAAGAATCCTGTCATAGATGATAGTCTACATCTTCATATTCAAATATCTTTCAAAAAATTCTAACTAGGAAAAGAACTATTATTTAGAATCACAAAATAAAAAATCTTTAAATATGAATAGCATTCTCACTTTGAATATCATAGCAATGTAGTACCTAAGGCATTCGACTGCTAACCAGAAGGCTGAAGGTTCAAATTCACCAGCCATTCTGTGTTAGGAAGATGGGGCAATCTACTTCCAGGAAGATTTACTGCCTTGGAAACCCAAGAGTGGTCACTATGAATTGGAATCGACTAGATGGCAGTGGCTTTGGTTTATATATAAGCTGAACAGTACCCAAAGAAGGAAAAAGAATCATAACTCACATCTCCCAAGAAGTATGTTGTTGAATTATACTCACATTATTTCAATTCTAAAACGCAGTGTTTTTTTTTTCCCCAAAAAAGAATGCATTAAAAGCACAGCGGAAAGTACACTGTAGTTCCTACTGTTTCTCTGAAATAAGGTCTATTTAACACAAAATCTTCCAAGGAAAGCATCGTTTGCCTCCTAAATTCTTCAGCTAAAAGGATATTCTCTTTATACTAAATAGACAACACGGTGTCAAAAATTTCACACCACCCCACTCATTCTATAGGACATCACCACTTCTCTAATATTGCCATTCCATATAATCTAAGAAATAAATATTACGAATTTCCAGCGGACACTCATTTCAAATTCTGAGTAAGTATATCTTCATTAAGGAACCCTGGTGGTACAGTAAGGAGCTCTGGTGTTGCAGTGCCTGACACATTTAACTGCTAGCCAGAAGGTTGGCAGTTTAAACTTACTAGCCATTCCTGGAAGATGGGGCAGTCTACTTCCATAAAGATTTACCACCTCAGGAATTCAGTGAAGGTTGCTATGAATTGTTATGGACTCAATGGCAGCGAGTTAGGTTTGTTTTCTTTTTTGGTGGTACAGTGGTAACTGGAAAGCTGGCTGTTCAAACTCACCAGCTGCTCCACGGGAGAAATATGCGGCAGTTTGCTCTCATACAGATTACAGCCTTTGCAGACCATTAGGAGCAGCACTTCTCAGTCCTATAGGGTCACTATGGTTTGGCAACAGGTTTGCTTTTGTTTTATTAAGGTGGAGCACTGGTGGTGTAGGGGTTAAGCACGCAGCTATTAACTGATAAAGGTTAAAGTCCATGGTTTAAACCCAGCAGCAGCTCCATGGGAAAGAGATGTGACAGGCTGTACCCATAAAGACTGTTGTTGTTGTTGTTATGTGCCGTCGAGTCAGACCCAACTCATAGAGACCCCTCCTTGGGTTTCCGAGGCAGTATCACTACGGAAGTAGGATTGCCCAACCTTCCTTCCGAGGAGTGGCTGGTGGGTTTGAACCGCCAGCCGTCTGGTTAGTAGGCAAGTGCCTTAGCCACTATGCTACCAGAGCTCCTTGGAAAACCTATGGCACAGTTCTACTCTGTCCTACAGAGTCACTATCAGCTGCAATCAACTCGACAGAAATAGGTTTGGTTTATCAGGTGTCCCAGACGCACAATCATTAAGTGCTCATCTTCTAACCAAGAGACTGGCAGTTCAAACCTACCAGCAGCTCTGCAGTAGAAAAGACTTGGTGATGTCCCTCCTTCAAAGATTTACAGAATAGGAAACCCTATGGGACCATTTTACTCTCTATATACAGTTGCTATGAGTCGGAATCAACTCAATGGGACACAACATCATCAACCTTATTAAGTGGAACATTGTCTGTGTACAACAAACAAATTTTCATCCATTAAACTTGCTTCTCCCCAAATAAAAAGGATTTTTATTTATTTGTATTAAAAAAATTATTATTTGTACTAAAAACTACGTATCAACTCAATATCAGAATTCTAAATAGGGCTAGCTAAGAACCAAAAGTATCAAGTCACTATAAAAAAGTAAGAAAATTAAAAGTTCTCTAAATTCAGTTCAATTCACTTTACAGACACTTTACTACGTTAGATGTTGTAGGGGAAGGATAATTAAGACATTAGCCTCTAGCTTCATACAGTGAACAAATTAATGAAGATGAAAACAGCAGAGCATCTATCACAGATGTACAAAATATAGTACTGTAAAAGAAAAATAATTGGGTCGGAAACAGTCTTGAAGACTGAACAGCATATGGAAAAGCAGAGAATCTTAACAGTACAGTGTGTTCATAGAACTACAGTGATAATTAAAACAAAATGCAAACCAGTGTTTCACTGGGAGATTTTTTTTGTTCTAAAAAGTCATCAAGGAGTTCCCCGGCTTCTGGAAGCTGGTCTGTATGATCAGTTAGGCCTTTATATTGCTAGGAGCTGACCTGGTATTCATGGGGAGGCCCTAATAGTCTCCTGTTGAATTTAAACCATTTCAAAGAACTGCAATATCAGACAATGTCACTCTGTAATCACATCTGAACAAAGACAAAAACAAACGTTGCTCAAATCATAAAAATGACCAAATACCTTCCATCTTCACCCTATCATGGCTAATGTAAGTAACTGCTTCTTCAGTCTCACTCTAATCTTCCTGGTAAGTTTTATAAGATTTTGATAAAATTTATTAAGATACCCAAGACTGTAATTACCCCTATTTCCTGACAGCATCCAATCCAGGGCAAAGCCCTATTTCCTTAAACCTACCCTACAATCACCTACCACAAGCCCAAAACCTGAAAGTCAAGGCAAATGCCTCAGCATTCCCTTTGGTATGTGTTTTCCCTCAGCAAGTAAATTACAGGGATGTACATAGTGATCTTTGGCTAAGAGCATAAACAAATTTTTCTTTTCATGGTTAAATTTAGTCCCTAAAAATCAACCAGAAGAGTTGAATTCAAGACATTTTCAAGACCCTTTCCCTCTTTTATAAGAAACATTTTAAAGATTTAGTCATGTGCATACCATAGCAACGTAATTATATTTTCGGATAACTTGACGAATTTTCTTCATTTCTTCATCCAGGTTGCAAGCCCAAACTTCACATATTCTTTGGCTGTGATCTACAGTTGCTGCTGGCATAGTGAGAGCACAAGGGGTCTAGATGCCTTGCATCAAAATGTTATACTTGATTGAAGATTTGTTTCATAAAATACTTTATCCTTTATTTGTGTACCTGTTCAAAAATAAACAAATAAATAAGTTAAAGTAAAAACTACTCCTAGCTCTGGTAGTGCAGTGCCTAAGGCACTTGACTGCTAACCAGAATGCTGGCGGTTCAAACCCACCAGCCACTCCTCGGAAGGAAGATGGGGCAATCTACTTCCGTAGTGATACTG